AAAACTAAAATACTAGAGAAAAAATGCCTGTTGTCGTCATGGAAATGATGTGCATAGCAAGTTTGATGAGTGAAGAAGAAATTTTAAAGAAAAGTGCCCAAGGCTATTTGTTGTTGTGGTCGTCATGGAAACGATGTTACACACATGTGTACCAAATTTCATCTCCATGTGTGATACCGTTAGCGAGTTTGAGGAGTGAAGAAGTAATTTTAAAGAAAAGTGCCTGAGGCTATTTGTTGTGGTCGTCATGGAAACGATGTAATACACATGCGCTCCAATTTTCACCTCCATGCGTGCTACAGTTAGCAAGTTTGAGGAGCGAAGAAGTAATTTTAAAGAAAAGTGCCTGAGGCTATTTGTTGTTGTGGTCGTCATGGAAACATTGTTACACACGTGCATACCAAGTTTCATCTCCATGCGTGGTACCTTTAGCGAATTGGAGGAGTGAAGAAGTAAGGAAAAGTGCCTGAGGCTATTTGGTGTTGTGGTCGTCATGGAAACGATGTACTACACATGCGCTCCAAGTTTCACCTCCATGCGTGCTATAGTTAACGAGTTTGAGGAGTGAAGAAGTGGTTTTGCCTTTTTCAAACAAAATGCAGTCGTCTTGGAAACATGTAATTGTCATGGGAATTATATAATAGGCAGATATACCAAGTTTGATTTCTATGCGTGCTACCATTGGAAAGTTTGAGGAGTGAAGAAGTAAATTTAAACAAAAGTGCCTGAGGCTAGTTGTTGTTTACAAACATGTATTGTTGTACATGATTAAATAGAGATATGATGAATATGGTAGATATGATTAAATACAGTTTTAGTACTTGTAATAAAATACTTCTTTCGTTTTAAGCCTCCCATTCCACCCTCTTCCCCTTCCTCCCCTCCATTCTCTCCCTCTTCCTCCCCTCTGCCATCTTCCTCCTCTCACACTCCCATTCTCTTCATCTCTTCCCTCCCCCTCTATCTCCTCCCTCCCGTTTCCCTCCCTCTGTCCTCTCCCCCTCTCCCCCTGTCCCTCTTCCCCTCTCCTGTTGAATAAATAATTTACTCCATTGTTTAATCTTTAATGTACACTTACCCTCATTAGTTGTTCTACTTTCTTCCCTAACCACCTCTGCCAATCCCACCCCTGCGTTGGAAAGACCAGTATAATGCACGGCAGCATTACTATAATTATAGCTAGACTCACTCTGTTCCACTTGTTGTTCCATTTGCACTACACAAAGTAATTTTTAGCAGTGTTTATTAGTTTCACAGTAAAACAGACCTTGCTGTTGGGCCATTTTTCGTGTTACTAAGTACTACCAGCCGTACTTAGTGATTTTGTTTTTCGCGGGCTCGCACGCAGCCGGCCACCGCTGCGCCGCCGGTCCTTTTCGCGCATATATCAACGCGCATGCGCAGCCGCATGAACCTCTCCTCCGCCGCTGCGCGCCAGCAGTCATATAAGTAGACCTGGATGATGTGAGTTGTGGGTTAGATTGGCGCTGTATTGCATAGCCTGTGGGTGGTGACCACGCCAACTCTAAACTGCGTTACAGATAGTCTTGTTGATTTTCTGGGGTCATAGCGGGGCCTATGGTCTAGGACCGGCGACGCCGCGGGCGGGCGGGCGGGCGGGCGCCGGTCGCGACACGGGGTGTTTCCATGCCAATAAAGTAAGCCGTTATGCGGCACAGTATAGAAAGGAAGGGCTGTCTTACCCTGGTGCAGGTCAGACAGGCTCACATGCACATTTTCCATTTCATGCCCACCCTGCTCACACCTTTTGGTCCGCAACGTATTCACGTCTTTACTAGTGCAAGCGCGTTCAGTAATGGTTTTTCAAAACTCCATAATGTATAACACTAGAAATTCTCTCCACTTAGCATCAGCATGAGACATGCTGAAGTTCCCGGACTGCACCACGGGGAGGTGGGAGAGAGTGCAGCCCATAGCGTGATGCGTGAAGCTGTGTGTGCAAGTGAAGATGTGTGTGAATGGCACGAGGAGAAAACAAAATAAAGAACAGTGTATTTCTCCAGAGAGCTCATACCTGTTTTTTTTAATGCAACAACAGTCTTTTTGGATTTGCTTAAAATGCCAATTGAACTCTAAGGAATACATCTCCCGGATTAAGAGTCTGGAGTAAATACACTGAGTTGACAAAGAGAAACCATATGCCAATTCCTGTGAGTGTGTGTGTGGGCTGTGCATTTTCTGAGGTGGGTGCTGTGAAATAAAGAGGAAAGTGCAGATTAGACATTGCATATTCTCTGGGACAGTAGCTGATCAGGCAGCTTGTACTGCACTATAGTTACAGCTTGGGAACATGTGGAATGCAGGTGCTCATAAGTAATACTTCATGGATTATGGCATACACTATAACAACTTTGCTCCTAGGGCTTTGTGTGGGTCCTGAATGTTTCTGGTGTCTCCACTCTTGTGTTCTGTAGTTAGTATACTTAGAAATTCTTTCACACTAGATGCATAATTATACTATTGCTATGGGAGCTGTCTTGGTGGACATGTTTTTTTCCCAGCACAATAGAAGTGCCTTAACCCAGTGGTCATTGTCATGGTCTCTCAGGATGCAAGCATCCCTACTTGTGTACTTCAAGTACACTATTGACCTTTTGTAGGTCTATCCAGGAGGCATGGGCAAGCCCATGACCTCGCTCTCGACCTCTCTGAAGGAGGTTCTCCCGACCTCTCAAGGAGGTCTATCCATTAGGCCCATGGTCGGGGTGAGAATATAAAATGCTATTGTACTCCTCATTCAAATATTAATATGCCATACTAAATTTCAATGTGATGTCAGACTTTTAGGATGCATTTTGCAGAGCTTTTGTAACTTTAACACCATTTCCCCAGTTCTCCGCAGACTTTGTCTAAAATTCTGATTTGCCTAAATTATGTGCCATAGAGTCCAAGCCTAATGCAGGAATTGTGCTCCATGCTCAAAACGATGCTGGCCTAATTCTCACCCCTAGCCCATGGCCTCTTCTCTACCATGACTCGCACTGGGATTGGTATGCTTTCAGCCACCGGAATTTCGGTACAATGCTGAGGCCATTCAGTTGTACACATTGTATACAACATGATGTATATACTACCTCAACATTTATGGCACCTCGACTGGCTCCTTGCATTCATGGAGTCAGTCGTCAGATCACCATTACTGCCACAGTCCTGTGCAGTAAAAGAGTACAGAATTTTCAACTGCACACATGTATATACACATTGAAATGTGTTGCCCTCCACCTCCTCCTTCACCACCATAAAATCCTCTGGCAATGTAAAACAATGGTTTCTTCCATTGTTAATTCGTCTCTTGGTCCCATTTTAATCTGCATGGTATAGCCACTCACTGTATTGACAGAGAGCATAATGATAAACGTGCCCATAGCAAGTGCATGGGCACTGGTTGGTGGCCTGTTTCTAGTCCTGTGAGAGAGTCACATTGAAGTGATTGCCACCACTAAACACAACATAAATAGTGGGCCTCGAGTTGTCATGTTGGAACCCCTCTGGGTCTATCACAGCCGGACCAAAGAAGTGGTACGAACCATCGTCATTATTATAGGAGGCAATGTTCACCTCAGCCAGGTGAGCAAATGGCAACAACTCCACACTTGTTCCCCACACACCATTTCGTGCCATGTGTGTACGCTGCACATATTCCTCTATGGTGTCGTCAGTGGGAATGTAGTTCTCTAGCAGTCGCCAACATCTCTCTGTCGTGAGGTGTTCAACTATCTGCGACATACCACATGGTGCTGACTTTCACATCCCGTGATTGCATACGACAGTGCATGAAACAAGCAGTTGCCATCCCCTCCCATGGATTCCATGCGGTTTTGCGTGGAACACATTCATTTCCCTGAACGAAATTCAGGCCTAAATTTCTGTTGTAGATCCACAGACACAGGATTGTTTTCCCCGGTTCAACGGTGTACGTGAGCTTTCTCCGCTCTGTAGACTGAATCGGAGCTCCTCTTGGAACCCTCCTTTTCAGGAGGAGGAGGAGCTGCTACTGGTGGCACATCACTTTTTTCACTCCCAGCTGAGCATTTTCTTCTACGCTTTGCACTGGGAGCTTCAGTTTTCAGTGCGCCAGTCAGTTTTCGCTTTCTGGTCTGCGTCGTACACTGCCGTGGAACAGTGTACTGAGGAAGATCGGGACAGAATGTCTGTCTCAATCGATTGATTTTCTTGCAGACACTTGGCACTGACCTTGATTGCTTCCTCTTTGAATGCGATCAGATGCAGGTTCTCCAGCTGCTTCACACGTGACAGTGCCACATATGCCATACCTGGACAGAACACCTGCTCCGACAGGTCCATGATGGCACAGTCCAACGACAGACCCTGGTACTTGTGCACAGTGACGGCAAATGCAAGTATCACCGGGAACTGCTTGCGATACACATAAACTTTCTTCATATATGAGCATACACTTTCGCTTTACCCTCTCGACGTCGTGAGGCTGTGACCTCCCGTCAAACTGAACAGTGATGTGGTGGGCTTTGATGGCAATCACTGTACCCACTGCTCCGTTCATGAGGCCACTGCTGACGTCGATGTTCCTACGCAGCATGACCCGTGCCCCGACAGCCACCTGCAGCACTGCCTCCAGGCTGGATGTCAGGTTACAGTCACTGTTCATTTTTTTCAGCGATTCCTTTGCTTTTTCACTTCACTTGAAAGTGCCCTGGGTTTCGTCGACACAAGGAATCTCTTTTGGTTCAGAAGCAAGCTTTGACAGCATGTCCGAGTTGAACTTGACATGCCTCACGTGTTGGAAAGAGGCACAGTGGAGACTTGTCCGCTCTTCAAATTTGTCGACAGTCGGTGTAGTGATTACTCTCTCCTTGAGAGCCTGGAGAGTGTTTTGTGACGGGCATCCTCGTCGTACTTCGTCCAACATGGAGCTGAATGCCTGGTCCTTTTTCTGGCGTTCGTTGATGGTCAACTCATCGTACACCACGTTCTCTTGCCAGATGTTGACCGACGTGATGCTACCGAGCTTGGTTGTTAAAGGATCTGTTGTTGATCTTTTCAAAGACAGCTGCTCCATTCACTGGTGGGAGTTGCAGGGTGTCTCCCACAAACAGAACGTTCACCCCGCCAAACCACTCGTCTCGGGCAAAGATGTCATCGAGACGGAGGTGAATGTATGCGAGGTTCAAACTGGACACCATTGACACTTTGTCTGTGATGAGCAGTTTGAGCTTGGACAGAGACGCACGCATGATCTTCAGTGCGTCTTTCGCTAGCTTCCAGTAGCCAGCTCCTCTGCCCTCGTGCTCAATGGCAGTCGATGGATGGTGACTCCACGGACATTGTATGCTGCCAGTCCAGTAGGAGCAGTGACGGCACACAGTGTGGACTGTGTTTCGTCCTCCCACATCTTTGTTACAAGTGCACGGACAGGACAGTCTTGATCAGGAAAGACTTGCCCGTGCCTCCCACCCCGCTGACAAACATGTGCAGTGGTTTGAGGTCCGTACAACTGCACTGCTTTTTCTCTTGAGTCAGCTGGTGCTCGAGGAGAGATTTCACGTGTTTGTACACCCTAGCCTGGTCGGTGTCTAGTGACTGAACTAGTTCCTCCAGACTAGGTCCGTCACTCTCATTGTTCTGGTGGAGGTCGAGAACGCTGTTCATGGCCGACGTTTCCTCACCTGCCACCTGAAGACCGGCGTCGTCCTCAACAGGGCTAGGGTCTGTGCCGGCATCTTCTTGTTGGGCTCTCCTGGCCTCATTGATCTTCTGCACATGCTCTCTAGCCATCAACATCCGTTGAAGCTTTTCAGAGTGTGTGTTGAGTGCATCGTTCTCTTCCAAGTGCCTTTCAAAAGCACTCTCGGCAGTCTCTCCCTCTTCGATGAGGTCTGCCTCGTTGCGAAACGGAACAAATAGGAAAAGGAGAGGGTGCAATCTCGCATGAAATGTGTGAGTGACAAACCTGGCCGTTGCGTAGTATCCATATACAGTACCATGGCCAGTCAAGCTGTATCAGGAAGTGGACTAGAGATACATTCCTACATAAGAGGATACCACGCATACATTGGCCTATGGACTCCGACCATCGGCGAAGTTTTACTTGTCAAGCCCGAACCAACAAATGAGAAAGACTCGAACGCCGTGGCAGTGTTGAAAGAAGATAGCATTGTTGGGCATGTTCCACGAAATCTTTCCCCTAGACTGTTCCATCTTTTAAGAAGGGATGTCAATAAAGCATTTGCTGAAGTTACCGGTCAAAAAGTGAACAGGGGTGCAGGCTATGGGCTAGAGATACCATGCACCTATCGCTTGTATGGTCCACCTGCTTATATAAACAAGATGAAAGAACTAGTGGAATCACTTGCTGCATTTGGACATATCTAGCTACTAGCTACTGACTGCATGTATTATACTGCATCAATTTTTGTATGGGTGTGGTTTTTACCGTTGCTGAGAGAGCAAAAAATCAATAGGAAAGTGCGCTTGGGGACGCGCCGTTGGTCGGAGTGGAGAGGTGCCGCTTTTAGAGGTTTTAAATAATGGTAAGTATATGGAAGACATTCCGTTCCATGCGTGATGGCCGTTGTAGGGAGTCCGGCCGCTCTTCGGAGGCCCGCTGTAGAGAGGTTCCACTGTATATCGAATGTTATGGTCAGCTGATTACACTTCCACCTAATGTATCAAAGGTAAATAGTAAGTACTTCATTACCTATAGCAATATTCTACAGACTCTCTCATCACCCCCACTCCAACCCTACGAAGAAGATTGAAAACTTTCCCTATCATAGCCCCATACATCTATGATGCTAGGTACTTCCACCATAGGATGATATAGGGCTATTTCCATGACAATAAATACCACTTATGCTGAATGTGGCTTCCTAGTGTTGGATAGTTTCCATGTATCTGCTTAGTCCAAAATCGGAAGCCTCAGCATAAACTGGATTTCGCGCAAAATTTTCTCCTCGCATTGATGAGCTGGTGTAGTTCATACTTCAACCACAATAACGTCATCTATTCTGCCGGATATTGCGCTCTCCAACAGCTGCTTTTCGATTGTGACTAATGCATCTGGTGTAGGTTATGAATGCTTGAAAGACTATGGTTGTTCCTACTCTCCGTAAACTCATCGAAGCAGCGATTCACCTGAGGAAGTATGGCATAATGCACACAGAAAAGATCACTGTCATGGAGAGGACCATCATTTTCAAGCCCATAGAGTAAAATTTGCCCCACACACCTAAAAACAACACCACAACCTCTCGATTCTCTCATTGCGGGCTGAAGAACCAGTGATGATACAGAAGGCTCCATGTTCTAGTGCAGCATATAGTGCCAAACATCTGTTCTCTCCTCTGTCACTTCTAACTTTATCTGGGATCCCAAATGAATTTGCAGCATGTGAAAAAAAACTGTCGAAGCTCTATTGTAATGTAAAATATTTTTCTTGGGTATATACCCATGAATGGCACCGTGGATGACCATTCTCCACCTAATCAATTTGTGGTTGGAATCGATATGCCAAATGTAGTTTGCATGAGGTACGGAGTGTAGCTACCCGACGCTCTCTGCCACCCCATCAGGCTGTGGATCGATGATCTCAACCAAGCTCGGGTAATGCGCACTCCAATACGTGTAAGGTGGCCGCCCATCATTACTTCTCCATCATGCGGGTGATCAACTTTTAACCTGTGAATCAAGGGCACTATCTTCCTAAAACCAGGCCTTCTATAGCGTGTAGTCCAAAACTTAGCCAAATAGCCCCGGTGCCATCCGTTCCAAAAGTCCCAGTGTTAGGTTATTAGTGCATAGCTGGTTTAAATCGAGCAATGTCCACAAGAGGTACTTGATTTCCCGTAGTATACCTGGGACGCTCCGTTGTTTTTCATGTAAAATTTTCACATGAAAATGACAAGATCACGTACATAATATAACGTAGCTTTATCGTCTACACTAATTCTTTCTTAGTTTCAACATTATGCACACAGAGAGACCTAGCTGTACGTAAGCGCCTGTACTACGCTAGCGGTACATAACGCCCGCGGATGGAGGTGAAACTTGGTGTGCATGCATCGTTTCCATGACGACAACAGGCATTTTTTCCTGTATATAGGTTAGACGCGGAAGCGAGGTGTCTACGCTACATTGCAACCCGAGGGGCTGTGGAATGTTGGCGTCCTGAGCGCAGCGAGGGCGCTCCCCACATGCCCCGAGGGTTGCAATGTAGCGTAGACAACCGAGCTTCCGCGTCTAACCGGTTTAGACTGGAGTATCTGATTGGTGTTTGCGCGTTCAAATGGGTAGCAACAAGCTAGCAACGCTGCGCTCATTCTTACCTTCGGATGGAACAAGACGCTTTTTTTACGTGTGAGATTTTGTCCGACTCCGAGCAGACAGCCCCCGCCCCCCGTCAAAAATCGTTTACGTCATCATAAAACGCCCTCATTGGTGGTGCGCGTTTGAAAGGGTTAGCAACGCACGGCAACGGCCCAATGTGTTTGTGTATCGCCAGAGCTGAAGAAGCTGTCTCTTTTTTCGTGGAATATTGACGTGATTTCTGACTTTCGCGAGCTCCGGAGACTGTCCACAGACTTCTTGTAGGTGCACTACGCATTTTAAAAGAGCTACTTTACCAGTCGCGCCTTCTACGTTTACCGAACGCGGAATCGGGCAGTTTGCGCAGATAACGACTTTTGAGGATAGCCATTTTGTATGGGGAGTTTGCTGTAGACCACCCATTTAGACACCTGAAACGAGGTGTCTATGAAAAATATACCCCCCGCAATTCTGTAGTCAATTGCGCGTGACTGCGGTCTAAATTAATTTTTATAGGGGCTTGCCCCGTTCCAGATAATACGTAGTAGTATATAAAAATGAGTGAGACAAGACTGTGGTGAAATGAAAAATCCTGCGAATTTGAGGCATATAGGAGGGAGACAAGATAGGGATGGGATACATGAAGCATGGTTAATGAACAGATTTGAGTACGCTGACACCCCCAACCCCATCACACAATCCCTATATTGTTGCCTGGTGTGCCACTCCATTTGTACTCTTGGTTACTGAGTAGCATGACTTTTTCGTATTTTCAAGCTAGTAATGTTGAATGTTTAATGCTTCACCTAGGCAACAATATAGGGATTGTGTGATGGGGTTGGGGGTGTCAGCGTACTCAAATCTGTTCATTAACCATGCTTCATGTATCCCATCCCTATCTTGTCCCCCTTCCATCCCTATATGCCTCTTATTGAAATTCATAGGATTTTTTATTTACTTGTTGGTGTATTTGCATCATATACAACTTGTGCAAGGTTTAGGACACTTGTAAGCTCTTGTCTACTCATATTTTACACCTGCATCTGTATGAAGCCTCATGCACACTTCATTTTTGGAGAAGTTTTTGCCTGATGTATACTAGAGGGATTTTGCGTCCATGCACTTCATGTTCTGACTTCCGTACTCGCCCATCAACCAATGCATATTTAATCATTTTGCAAGGTGCACATGGTTCACCTAGTGTGAGTTCACCTGACTGTAGCATGTCTTCTGTATCGAACTTTATATTTTCTATAGTCTTATGGCAAGGTACAGATATCTCACCTCCTGGCATCTTCAGTTTTCTGGCGCGCATTCTTCTTCCCTGTTCTCCTGTCTAATTTAGTAGTGTGAAATCCATTTTCAGCTGCAAATTCTTTAACTATCTGACCTCCGTTTCTTGCTGTAATGCCATGTTCTCGTGCTACTTTTTTACCAGTTAATAGTTACAGTTTCTGGCCAGCTTTCATTGAAAATTCCCATACAGTGCTGTGCAAATAGAACTGGAACTAGAAGTAAGCCATACTACATGCTTAACCTAAATGTAAAAAAATGCCCAAGTTCCTCTCTATGTGCACTGCACTGTAATTGGTCTCGTGCCCAGACCCCGCCCTCAAGAGTAAGAGGAAAAGGGTCTGGTGACTATTGAGCGTTTTCTTGCTGAGTCAGCGATCATGTGATACGGGCTTCCATCGTCCCTTGAAAGTAGTTGTTTCTCGGCTCCCCCTGGTCAAAGTGGAAGTGCTCAAGTTTCACCGTATCATCAGGAGAGAAGAAGCTGAAAACAATGACGGTGACACAGGGATTCAGCTGAAGGGATGTGCGAGCTGCAGCAAAAAGGGTTGATGGTCAGTAGCTATTGCGAGATAAAGCTAGACCTAGCTAGCCTACCTTGTTTTTCCTTCTTCACAGCAGAAAAATAGAAGATCGGTGTTAACATAGACTTTTGACCACACTTGTTGCACAATTGGAAGTAAGGCAGGGCAACATAGCCCAGCAACTGTGTATAGACCACAACCAGTGACAGCATTATTGTGTACACCAGGCTTTCAACGATTTCTTTTGTGCATTCCTGCAAGAGAGATTAAAAACCCACAAACATAACTCTTAGAGTGATGTGAAAGACTACCAAATCTAGGGATATCAAGGCGATGTTTGCACCCTTAAAGTAAGCAAAGCTCCTCATGATGATGTGGCCACTCAGTTCTGTTGTCTTTGAGTCAATAACACAGGCTACTGCGTTGCGGCACTTTACAGAGAAAGTGCACTCACTATTTGTATCCGACTTAGAAAGCTTAGCACGAGTAAAAAAATCAGCAAAAGGTTGAGGTACAGATTTGTTAAAGTCCATTCTCATGAACTTACGCAGATGTTCTTCAGCAGCAAAAGCAGGATACTTCTCATTAGCTTCCTCCCATAGGAGAGGCTGTTTTTAGTGCTCTCATCTGCTTCATATCAGCAGCCTCTACTTTCAGGTATGCCAGATAACACTCTCCATCGATTACCTGGATGCATAGAAATACATGCATACATAATAGAGGTTTGTAGATCAAGTACACACATATTAGAAGGCAACATTGCTCACTCTCTTCCAATCGTCTAACGGGCGCAAAATACTG